ACATTATGCTCACGTACGATTCTCTTGCAGATTAAGAAGGGGAAGTTCCTATCCTGCTGCAGCATCTACAGGAGGAAGGATGGGCTGTGAACAGTACCAAGGTTCAGGGACCTGGTCTGTCAGCAAAGTTCTTGGGGATTATCTGTTCAGGTAAGACTAAAGTTATCCCAAAAGCAGTCATGGATAAAGTCCAGGCGTTCCCTGTCCCTACAACTGTGGCATTATTACAAGAGTTTTTGGGTCTTGTAGCTTGTGTGAGAATCCTGGCCATAGGAACCTTCACTTTCTCCACCCTTTTACCAAAAACGTTCCATTGTAATTTTTCAGTCTCACCAAACCCAGAGTGAACTTGTCTGGGGCTGAAACCCTCAGGAGAGACAGCAGGATGTTTACCTTATTTATCAATCTTTCTAGAATAAGCTGTGCCCTAATAACCTTCAAAAGTAAAAAACAGGGAAAATGAAAGTTCCTATGGCCAGGATCCTCACCTGACCCTAAACAACTTGACAATGTAATTGGCCTACTACTACATAGGCTAATGCTTACACACCCATTGGCAATTGTCAGTGTTACTATATAAAGAGCTCCACCCAGTACTCTGCCCAGAGGCAGAGGTAGAGATGGATTGTGAATGCCTCAGAGGCAGACATGATTCCAGCACTTGACCTGCCACCACGAGAGCAAAGCTTGGAATAAAGCCTTTTACCCCTAACATTCTGTTGTTATTTGGTCTCACCAAATCCAGAGTGAACTTGCTTATGGGCAATCCCCCTCAGGTGACACAGTAGCCAATTAATTTTTGTTTGGCATATCATTTGGAACTCTTGGGTATTTACACATTTCAAGTATTTCAATCCTTGGCAATTATTTTTCTTTTTGATGCTTAAGTTTTCCCATCCTTGGTCAGTACACTCTTTTTCAAGTTAACTCCAGTTTCCTTTTGACATGACACTAATAGACTGATAATTTCCTTGCTTTCACATATGAAAACATGGATTGTCCAGATTCATGTTACATATTTCCTACCCCAGACCTGAAATTAGCCACTTACCTAAGGAGCTCTCATTCCTTTAACTGGGAAATGGTAGGGACCACAACCTGGGTTACCATGGGTATTTATTGTTCTTGGGTTGTCACTAATTCCAGGTCTTTTCAATGTGTAGGATGCTTATTTTTGGGAAGATAACGATAAATTCTGATTTCACAGTGGTGAAGCCATGCTTTGCAAGGTTAACAGTCACAGGTGATTCTTATTTTTCAGAGAATAACATGAAGCCTCCAAGCTTCTGTCAGGCCCTCCCAGAAACCTGCTAGATCCAGGTGAAACCAGGTGGACTATCTAGCAGCATGGGCAGAAGAGATCCATTTACCTGGTCCTTGAACTTTTTGCAATCAACAATAGAAAATGTGTCCCAAATCAGCATGCAACTAATTACCTATTGAAGATCACTATGGGATGGAGAAACCTGAGTAGGAATTTCCTAACCCTCAGTCAATCCCTCTTCATTACATTCCTTAAAAAGCCTCTCTTGTTGATGAGCAGAGAGACAGATTTGAGCTAGACTCCTTGCTGTAAAACTCTTCTGTTTTGCAAAAGCTGGTGTCCCATGTTTGGTTTATGCTGTCCATTGGTCAATGAATCCTTATTGGGTTACTTTGGTGTTTTCAATTTGTGCTCACAATGTTTTTTTGTTTTATATTTAATGTCTTCTCTTATGCTGAAATCATGATTTCTAATAGCTATCTCCCTATTTTTCTTTTCCTGCCTCCTCCACACCTTACCACCACTGAATGCAATTTCAGACTTCTTTGTTCATTTCATCTGTAGGTTATATCCTACTAAATACATACAGTCAAAATATTGTGTTTAAATATCACTTTAAATAATTATTTCCCCTAGTTATACCACCAGTGTGGTAAACAGGTTAATTTATTTTAGTTTGTTTTCAAATTTTAGGCATTGCTCTAAGTATAATTGTACTTTTAATCATATAAAATGTGTACATAGTTCCAAAATTAGAACTATAAAACAAGGGATTTTTAGCAAAGTATAGCTTCTATTGTTGTCTCTTCCTTTATATTCTCTCCCTTCTTTAAGATAACCTTTTTTAAAATCACTTTTGGCTTTTACTTCTGTTTTTTAAAAAATGCATACATATACATGCCCCAAAGGTAACATAACACATACAGTATCCTGACCCTGCATTACATTTTTCTGTTCTGGTAAAATATATGTAAAATAAAATTATTTTCACCATATTCAAGTATACAAGTCAGTGGCATGAAGTACATTTACACTGTTGTGCAACTACTATCACAATTTCCAGAACTTTTTCATTATTCAGAATGGATATCAAACAATAAATCCTTGTTCCCTTCTCCTCTCAGCCCTCAATAACCTCTATTGTTCTTTCTTTCTTAATGGATTTACCTATTCTATCTGCATCCCCCCTCCGCTGGATTGTATATTCTAGAGATCATGCAATAGGAGCATACCAAGATCCTTATTTTTTCACAACTGTATAGTATTCCATTGAATGGCTTAAACTGAATTCAACCAGTTCCTTTTTGATGGGAATTTTAAGTTTCTAATCTTTTGCTATTACAGAGAGTGCTACAATGAAGAGACTAATGCATCCATCACTTTATTTTTGGTGTTTTATTTTTGCCTGTATATCTTATAGACTTCTAAAAGAGGAATTGCTGAGCCAAAGAATAAACATACATGCAATTTTAGAGCATTTGGATTTTATGTGATAGACAGGAATGAACCTTGAAACCATTTAAGTATGAAGTCATTAAGTTAAATGAGGACCATTTAACAGGTTTAAATATTTTAGAGTATGATTAAAGCACTGCTTTAACCATGGAGATAGTTATTTAGCTCTTTTAAGTAAAATGATTTTAATTGTTTGAAGCAGACTGCGTGACAAATACTGCTATTACCATCTTTCATTTGGATTTGAACAAATTGGTGTCCCACATGAAATTATGTGACTTCTACTTTTTCTTAAAGCTTTTGAGACTGTGCAAAGGCTACCTTAGGACTATTTGTCTGACTACTTTGGGAAAATAAAGGACTTATGCCAATTCTCAGCTATTTTGGCTGCCAAACAGCAAGCACATCTGGGCAGTTCAAGCCAGGAAAAAAATTTTGTGTGTATATGTATCTTTAAAGGAAGGTTTTCGAGGCCTTAATAATCCAGATAATGCTCTCTCATACGACAAGGGCTTCACAGAGACCTCACCAGAGCAGGGCCACGAAGGAAGACACCCCCTACCCCCCAAAGGCAGGGGAACGCAGAGGCAGCTCTATGAGTTCAGAGGGCACGTCCCCAGCCTGGATACACCAAATTGCTAGGGTTTAATCATTAATAAGGAGTCCAAACCAGGAATCAAGGATATGCCCCAAGACCCATTTACGCGCCCTGAGCTCCGCCCCCCCCGCCATGGTCCCATCCTCCGTCCTGCCACTTTAGGGGCTCTAATTCCCAGATCCCTGCCAGGGGTCACCCCGGAGCACACCCCCTGCCTGGACTCCCCAGGACCGTGGCGCCGGCAATCTGCTGAGGCCCCCCGCGGCCTCGTGAGCTCCCTCTTCGGAGGCGGAGGGCGCATTTCACTCTGGAAACGCCCAGCCCCTCTGCGGGTCCCACAAACTGACGCCGCTCCCGGTAGGGAGGTGGGGGTAGGAGGAGATGGCGAGGGCCCGGCCTCCTCGGTTTGGGGTTGCAGCCAACTCGCACGCGAGTCTCTATTCCTGTTTGGCTGCGAATCTCCCCCACCCCCTTCTGGGTCCGGGTCCCCGCCGGGAGGACCGGTTCTCATCCTCAACCTTGTGGCTTCTGCCCGGCGGGAAGTTCAGCCGCCGGTCTAGCCGAGCCAGGCGCGTTTAGAGACCCTCGTCGGCGGTCCGCGGCCCGGCCAGAACGCAGAGGGAGGGGAAGGGGCTGCTGCCTTCTTTCCCAAATCCGAGCCCTAACCGCCCCCTCCCCCGCCGTCTGCTCGCTTTGCACAGGCAGTCAAAACAGAGCTAGCGGCCAGTTGAGGGGGACGGGAAGCAAAGCCGACTAGTGCCTCGCCCCCTCCTCCCGGCCTCCGACCCCCGCCTTTCCCACTTTTCTTCTCGCCCTAACCTCGCCCCATCCCCCGCCCATTTCCTCTCGCACCCGGGCTCGCCAATCCCTTTCCCAGCCCCTCTTCCAGCCCTGGCCTTCCTCTCCGGCTCGCCCCCCTTCTCCCCACTCTCAGTCCTCCCCCCTCCCTCCACCTACCCCTTTCCTTCCTCTTCCCCGCCCCCAGCCCCAAGCTCCCCGGTGTCTCCCCACCCGTTCGCCCCTTGACTCTGTCCCCGCCCACTCTGCGCCGGCCCCTCGGTCCGGGCTGCGCCCCACGTGTGGACCGCTGCGCTCCAGCCCCCACTGACAGCCGCCGCCCGCCGGCCCGCCCCGCGCCCCGCCGGGCCTCAAAACCCCCGCGCCGCGCCCTCGCCCGCCGCATCCTCCCGGGCGTGCAGCCTCCCGCCTTCCCGCTCACCGGCCGCCCGCTCCGGCCCCGCGCACCTCTGTCCGGCTGCTCAGCCGCCGCCGGCGTGTCGCTGCCCCGCCGGACTCCTGGCGAGCCGCGAGGAGATCCTCCTCTTCTTTACGGGGTGACTTTTGTCTGCCCGCTTCCTTCTGGTGACTTTTGCAGCTTTCCGAGATCCGTGCCCAGAGCGCACGGGACACGCCGAGCCGCTACGCGCAGGCCCCTTTTTCCTTCGAGGTCCGCTTTCTTTGTAACTTTACCCCGCGGCTGCTCGGGTTACTTTTGTAATTTCCCGCCCCCGCCCTCTGGAGGTCCTGGAGTCGCTCGGGGCCGTGGCCCGGGGGATGCAACGTGGACCGCGCGGGGCTGCCGGCCGCATCGCCGCCGCCGCCGCGCCTTGCCGCCCGCTGCGCTAGAGCCCGCGCCCCGCCGGCAGCCAGGGGGCCGGCGCCCGGTCCGGGGCTCCGCTGCAGCAGGGAGCCCGAGCCCCAGGGCGTCCCGGGAGCCGCGGCAGGGCGTGTTAGAGCCTGACCTTTCTCGGGCCTCGCACATTCTTTGAGCTCTCCCTCTCCGCGGACCACGGTCCGCGCGCTCTCGGCGCCCGCGATGGGGAGACGGCGGCGGCAGTGTCTCCAGCCCTACTTCGTGTGGCTGGGCTGCGTGGCGCTCTGGGCGCAGGGCACGGCCGGCCAGCCTCAGCCGCCGCCGCCCAAGCCGCCCCGGCCCCAGCCGCTGGTGCAACAGGTCCGGCCCGCGACGGCTAGCTCTGAAGGCGGGTTCGCGGTGCCCGAGTACCGGGAGGAGGGCGCCGTGGCGGCCAGCCGCGTCCGCCGGAGAGGACAGCAGGACGTGCTCCGAGGGTATGTGCGCCGGCGGGACGGGGAGAACCTCGGCTTGGCAGCTTTCCATCCTCCCCCCTCCCGGAACCTAGGTTGGCGGCGACAGCCGCGGCCCCCTCCAAGAGACCCCCAGGACTCCCGGGAGCGCCTCCCCCTTTTCCTCCGCTAAGCCTGCAGAAAGCCCTCCTCGGAGGGTGGCTCGGAGGCCCTCGGGCGTGGATCGCAGAACGCAGGCCGAGCCCGCGGTGGGGAACAGGTTCCGAAAGGCGGTCGGAAGGCGGGCTCGAGGCCACCCCGCGGCAGGGCTGTTGGAGCCTGCTTGCTCCCCGCGGTCCGGGCCGCGGCTCCCGCGCCTTTTGTTTGAGGACGTGCGCGGAGCTTGCTGTGCGCGCTGACCATCAACCCCAGCGCTCCACCTTCCGACGCACCTTCCTTGACACGTCGGGGCCACAGTTAGTGATCAGGGAGGGATGATTCGGGGACTAGAGCAAGGATTTTTGAAACACTGTTCCCTTTGTTCTCAGCATCCGGAGGCCAGACTAGGAGCAAATTATATGTTTATGTTTCTTTTTCCCCTTTAAAAAGGCAGCAAGGGAGGGCAGATGAAAGGCAGCGGATAGACGTTTCTGACCCTCCCGCTTTTCGGCGTCTGTTTCCCCGTCTGTGCCCCAAGCCCAAGCCCCAAGACTGCGGCATAGTTCGTGTTTGCCTGTTGTCCCCTTGCTGCTAACGTGTTACTGCACCCCTCTCCGCGGGCGCATGTGTGACCTCGCTTGTTCATCGCAGGCCCAATGTGTGCGGATCCAGGTTCCACTCCTACTGCTGCCCTGGATGGAAGACCCTTCCCGGAGGAAACCAGTGCATTGTCCGTGAGTGCTTGGCTGGGGCCGTCGGGGCGGCTCTCTCGGCCCCACGTTGGCCCGGCTTCTTGCGTTCGGTGTGTGGGATGCGCGGTTGCACTTGCAGTGCAGTGACCCCAGAGCGGCGTTAATTAAGACGCAGCGCCATTTGAATGACGTAGAAGCAGCCGATCTTGCCTCAGTTTAAACGTCACTTCTACTCTGTTGAAGGGCAATAATGATAAAGGTTTCAAAGATAGTTGGAAATTTTATCTTTCTCTGTCTATTAATACACACTGAAGGGGGAGTACAGCCATTCCCTAGAGAACTCAAAACCACTTTTTTCCCTAAAAGAGTCCAGATAAGACCACAGTGTGATTGTGTAAATTTTCTGGCTTTTGACTCTGCCTGAAGATCAAGCTTTCTTAGGCCTTTGTACAAACCACTTTATTATCTCTGGTTTCATCTCAACAGCCACATAACACAGATATGAAAGGAACGCTGTCAGGGTTTTACAGCTGATCCAGGTTAACACACTTTCTAAAAGAGAGAACTCCTCCAAGTGGCTCGACTTTTTGTTTGTTTAGAAGATGTTTAAGTTTAGGATTTCCAGACCTCAAATCTCATCGTATACAGTAGGTTTCCGAAGTGTAAATCTTAGAACTAGAAAAGTTCTGCATATCTGATCATAAAAGTTTGGATTATTTTGTTCAGTTTCCAAATGGTATACCTAGCTCTCAAAGTTCTCATGGGAAAAGTCATTAGTTATCAGCCTCTCAGTGATGGACCAGGAGATGTCTTATTTAAATGCCTGTGAATTTGTGAGTTGAAGTGTGACTGGCCTTCTCCTGTGTTTATCTAACACAGCCACATTTGTCTTGTTGGGAAGGCAGCCAGGTATTATAGACAGCACATTCATTTAGAGCCAGTCTTGACTGTAGATTGACCTCAGCGTTCTCCCGGGAAAAGATAATTATGCAACTGTGAACAGGAAAAAAAGGGCAGGCTACACCAGCGAAGGGATAATAAGGATGTAGTGGCATCTCTGACTCTATGTTTATTGGTTTCGTGGGTTTGAGATAGATGCTTAATGTTATTTCAGTGCAGTGTGTTTATAAAGGCATGAAGTCTCGTGTTGTGAAAACTAGTTTCTTATTTTTTTCTATTCTAAAAATCCCACAATCTCCAGTAATGGGGCAAAAATGGGAAATGAACATCCATGCTCCTTAAAGTGATTCATAAATATTTTAAATAACCCGTCTGATGATAAGCCTTTGCTTTTATTAAAAAGAAAGAAAGGGTGTTGCATTCTTTTCTCTCCAACACAGAAATCATGTATATGAGGCCTTTTTGGGGTGGGTGCGTTTACTCTTCTAGGCCGGTAGGACATTACCGTGCCTGCTTTAAACTTACATGGTTCCTTGAATCCAGAAACAGCTAATGTCACTCACCACACACCTGCCGTCCTAGGTGGGAGTGACTTAGGCCCTGTGGAAAGTCTGACTCACTAAATGTAATGAATGTGACTGCCATTATTGAGTTGGAGAGCAGCCGAGGAGAAGGAATCGGTTTATGGTACGTGTTGAAAATCTGTAAAGTCAGATTTTATTGAATTGGTGTGGAATGGGAATTCCAGAGAACAGAGCCTTCCAGAATATTGTAATAGAAATACACACACACACACACACACACACACACACACACACATATATATATATATATCCTTCTGAGTGTCAGTTTTAAATAGTTTTGGTCTTTGAGTAACATTCTGCTCTACTTTGGTCTTTGAGTAACATTGTGCAGAAGATCAGCTTTGGAAATCTCAGAGTAGCAGTGAATATTGTGACCGCATTTCTACTACTTGAAAATATTTGGGTGCTTATGAAATATTTTGGAATGTACCTGTATCATATATTTATAAAAACACAAGCTTTGAAATGATCTTTAGATCTCCAAGAAATACAGCACTGTGTCAAGAGATATCTACAAAAATATTTATTAGCACATTAAAAAAGTAACTCAGATAGATAGCCAAGACTATAAATAAGGGCACAAAGTAGAGAGAGAATGCAATGCTTTTATAATGTCTTGGTTGGGTCACCTAAATTTTAGTTTTTAATAGTTTGCATTAAATTTAGTAGTTGTGGTTTTGACACTTAACATTATCATGTAAGGGGCTAGTAACCAAATTGAAACCATTATAAAGTCAAAATCAAGAATTTTCATTCCAGGATTTTCTGATGATAATAAAGTATTACATTTATTTTATTTCCACTATTTAGCAAAAGTTCAGACGGAAATTACAAAAAGAGAATAAGTAAAATACAAATGGAAAATGAGGATGAAAAATTAATTTTCCCATACATTTATACATCTCCATTTTTTCTATATGGAAAGATACTAAAATGATCACCTTCTAGAATTTAATATGTTTGGCCTTGACCAGGACTCATGAGAAGAAGATCCTAAATCAAGAATGTATTTCTCAAACTACAAGAAAGCTAATGTATTTTAATTTAAGTCTCTGTGTTTTGTTATTGTTCCTAATTGTGGCCTGCAAAGATCACTGAAGTACTTCCAAACCTCTAAATATTTGTGTCCAAAAGGATAAATTGACTTTCTCATTTTCCATTTATTTTTTTAAGTCTTGTTAGAACATGAAGCAATGGAAAGTTTGCTTATTAATTTGTTTATTATGAGATTATGCTGTTTATTAAGAGATTAGAACTTTTTGATCAAGGCAATAACAGTGGGGAGGGGTTGCCCTGGAATCATAGCATTTGAGACCTGAAGAGATATCAGAACACTCCAATGTAATCCCTTTGTTTTATTCAATGAGAAAACTAAACCCAGAAAAGTTGTGGTTTTCTCCCCACTGAAGTCTGGTGGGTCAGCACCACAGCAAGAACTCAATCTCACACCTTTGCATACCATACACACTTTACTGTGCCATCCATCTTTTCCCAGCATCACTGAAATCCCAACAGCCAAGTCCTCTCTCTTCTTTCCCTCGAGTATTCCTAGGCCTCATGGTTTTCGTGATTGTGAGAACAGATATTTAGGTGAGGCATACTACAATTTGAGATGAATGTGAGGATAAAGTACTCACATTTCTCAGTGCCTCACAGATACAGGGTGCATGCCAGGGGCTGGGACAGGGATAGAGTGACCAGTCTCCAGCCCATCAGACCTTTGGATTTAGGACCAGGGTAGGGGCACTTTGTATATCACTTAAGCCTAGACTAAATGCCTACCCACTGAGGGTGTCTATGAAATAAAACAATGTATTAGCAAGCATTTGTCATGTAAAGTCATTGGTGATCAGAAACTCTAGTACATTTTAAGAATTAATAGTCAACTCCATGGCAGGAACCATGTTCTAGCCTAAAATTAGTGTTCTGTCTTCACACCATGATCTGTGACATTTGCATTTACTGAGAGCACTAATGGAGATGCTGGCTGTTTTATGTGATGACAAAAGGCAGTTTGGTAAAGGAGAGCAATTACTGAATTAGCTCGCTTCTATAGAACATGCCCTTGACGTTGTTGGGGGCCCCAGATCTCTTTGAAAGGTGTGGGAACCCTCCCAAGCAAAGGACGCATATGTTCATTTGCATAAATGTTTATAACTCATTTCAGGGCATTCCCAGAGTCTCCTCTTGTCTTCATTCATCCAATTATTGAGTATTAAAGCACATAGCTTTTGTGCACAAAGAGAGAATTCAATTGTAGGTGTAGAAATAAATCTCTCAGTTCCTAAATGTCTGACTCTACATATGGGAGGGACTTTCCATGTAAAGGCGCCCAGCTAATGATTCTGAGGATGCGTGGTATGTGCTGTGTCAGTGAGCTGAACGTTCTTGGCTGTCATGAGAGCTGCAGGAGGCTTTGACTCTCCTTCCGTCATAAGGTTGCAGCCACTTTTCTGAGCAGCAGGAAATGGCTAGGTTGTGGAGATACTGTGGAGGAAAAAAGTCTGGAGGAAGGAGAGAGGGAATTATTAAGGAGAACAAAGATTGATGATGGGGCAGGTCAGATACCAACTGGGAAGGAATGTTCATGGAACCCCTGGGGCTTGGCCAAGTGTTTAGGGTCTGGCGTCTCCAGCTCAGCCTGTTTCACGTCTTTTGTCTCCTGCGAAGGTCCTTTAACAGAGTGGGCTGTTTTCTGAGGGTTTGTGAGACCCCTGGGTTTCCTCAACCCTTCTAGCTTCCTAGGATCAAGACAACCTTCTGGCAGTGAATTCTGCATATACACTCCTTACCTTGAATGGAAAAGATGACCTGTGTTGATAGAACAGTTAAAGAATCAGGATTATGGAACTTGGAATAGCTTCATTTGTTTGCACATTATCATAAGAATCCTTGGGGACTTACTCCCCGGTCTGCAATGGGTAATTTCATTGCATATCTGAAATTAGACATCGTATGTGTCACGTACTTTATAGCTTAGTTTTTCAGGTTCCTTGTTTTCTTGTTTTAGAAACCATGGTTTGTAACCTAATAATCAATTTGCTTTCCTATTGTGCTTCCCACAGCAATCTGTAGAAATAGTTGTGGAGATGGAGTTTTAGAAACCATGGTTTGTAACCTAATAATCAATTTGCTTTCCTATTGTGCTTCCCACAGCAATCTGTAGAAATAGTTGTGGAGATGGATTTTGTTCCCGTCCAAACATGTGTACTTGTTCCAGCGGCCAAATATCACCAACCTGTGGATCAAAATCAAGTACGTTTCTTCTATATGAACTTAACTTGCTCCAGTGTCTATAAGCTTTTAAGTAGATTCTGATTGTCCCTTTCCATGAGGATAAAAACCCAACAGTGTTTTCCTCCCTAAGTAGGTCTGCATTAATTCTGGAGTAAAAAGTCTTTGGTGTCTTATTTGTTGTCCTCAACCACTAAGTCGTAGAGGGGTGAGGGTTTTCATTAAGAAAAGTGACTTAATTCTGGTCCAGAAATGGCCTGTCTATCCAGGAAAAGTGCCTGGATTCAGTTGAGAAGTAATTCTTTGTGAATAATAACTATAACTTACTGAATGTCCACTCTGCTAGGCATTATTTTGTGTTTGTCTCTATCGTTTTATTTAATCCTTCAATGAAAACTATGAGATACTATTATTATCCCATTTTACAGAACAGGAGATTCAGTAAGTTAAGTAACTTGCCCAGGGTGACATAGATTAGAATCCAGGTATTCTGATAACCAAGCTTGTAAACCCTAGGCTGTATTTATTACCTTTACATAACTCCTTTGGCTCCTATCTCGTTTTATGGGGTTAACTAAAGGGGAAGGATAAGAGCACTGGGGTTGTGACAGATATTTATTGTGTACTGGACAGATGCTTTACATATATGAACTTACTTTCTTTACACACATTAACTCCCAACAAGTCTGTATGATCACTATAACAGAGGGCTGAGGCTGTATTATTCAAGACCCAATTAGAACCTGTTTGACCTTTGAAATTGAAAATTAATCTTGTAGGGGGTAATAATAGTATCTCATAGTTGTCATATAAGGATTAAATAAAATGATAGAGGCAAACACAAATATCAGATAGTATTATAATTAGGCAGAAGCAGATATTGTTTATTTAATTACTCAGTAATTAATAAATCTTCAAAGCTGCCTCAAACTAGCACAAAATTATATTTTTAACATTTCTCTTCACAGATTTTCCCTAAGAAAAGGTAATGGAAATCTGTCTGACTCAGGAATATAAGATTAGAGATTCATACAGCAGCTGTCATTGTCTTCTGATGAAACTTGTGATTAAAACTCTAGTTTCACTTTCAAAATTATCTGTCATTTTCCCAGCCTTTTAAAATCTGTTCAGAATTCATGGAGGCTTTCTTGCCACCCTGATTAGCAAATTCCCTCCACTACTTTTCTCAGCCTCCTTATCTGATCTCCTGGAAGATAACCCTCTCCTCTGTCTTTGTTATCCTAGACTCTTAGTTTTCTCATATGCACTCTCAGCAAAAGACCCAATCCTGGAGAAATTTTGCAATTTAGCAGATCATAGATCATTTAGCAGCCCATGCTCACTTTACAGTGTGGTTTAGGAAGGACTCCATGAGCTCGCCTAGGCTAGAGCAGCACTCATGTCCTTTCCATCAGGAGCTTCTCTCTCCTTTCCCGTCCTCCCCCTGTTCTGCCTCCCAGAAGCAATTCACACCATTGATCACTATCTTCTTGAAATGTGCTCTTTGCCCTTCACTTGTGTAATATCATTGGCCCACCATGCTGCTCTTTCTTGATTTGTATTTTTTTTTCATATCCTTTCTGTATTTTCTTCCTGAGTTTTGTATTCTTAAGGGTTCTGTCCTCCCAAGGGAAACTCATTTACATATATGTCTTCAGCTGCCATGAATATGATTATCTGCAGAGTACATGCCTTCCCAGGGTGTCCCATTCACTTGTTCCATTTCCTGTTTGAGGGCATAGTGGGCACCTGAAGCTTGGAAGCATGGAACTCTGGATTCATTACTGCACTGTCTGCTTCTTCCACAGTTTCTCTGTCCCCAGCAAATAGTGCTGCCATCCACCCGGTGCTTAAACAACAGCTTCTCTTTCTCTTACGTCAACTCTTTTAACAAGACCTGTGGGTTCTACTGGAAATGTTCTCAATTCCATCTTTTCTGCATCACCACTGATGCCGTGTGGTTCAGCCACCCTCATTTCTCACCTGGCCTGTTGCAGTAACCACCTGATTGGGCTCCTAGCTTCTACTCTTAGCTCTTTTCAAATCTATGCTCTGCAGAGCATCTGGAGCAATCTTTTATAAATATAAATTGCATTGCTTTGCTCTGTTATGGAAATATTGTCAGTGACTCCCTGTTGCATTTAGGATATAATGCAAACCTTTCTGTGGCTGGGGAGGCCTCTGTCACATCAGAGTGGTCTTGCTTGGCTGCTGGCTCCAGGCTTCTCTCCTTCACAACAGGTTCCCTTGGAGAACTTAGCACAGTCTGTAATGACACTGTAGTATTTATTTCCTTGTGCATTGTTGTTTTCCTATGGAAATGTAAGCTCCATGACAGTGGATACTGAGTCCATGACAGAAGGACATTGAGCTTATACAGCTGGCACTCAGCCCCTTCCTTCTGCGTGGATACATGAGTTCTTCCTGCATCCTGGAAACTAAGCTGCTAGTCACCTTATGTTTATTTCCTTTAACACCGAAAGTGTAATTTAATTTAAACATACAGAATAACATGTTGTAACACATATGCTCATGTGTACTTTTACGACAAATAAACAAAGCTATGCTTGGGCCAAAACATTTACTTTTGCAGGATACATTTGTCATTACACTGGATCTCTCATAGATCTCTCATAGATAATATAATTTTGGTGGTTGATATTTGTGTATATTTCATTGTTTTTTGCAGTTCAGCAGTGCAGTGTTAGATGCATGAATGGGGGGACCTGTGCCGACGACCACTGCCAGTGCCAGAAGGGATATATTGGAACTTACTGTGGACAACGTAAGCAACATTGCAATAGATTTGATTTAGAAAGAATTTGAATTACTGGGTATTTCATACTAAGTTGTAATTGAAGGTCTTGTAAAGCCTATGATCCTTTAAAAGAATAATTTTATGTAGTAAGCCATATCTTACAACAGTTATTAATTTTTATCCCAGATTTTTTTCTCTGAAAATTTTTGTGCTCTAGAGTATCGATATTGAATACCACTCATGCTTTATTAAATTTTATACATATCACAAGTAAATATTTGCTTTTCTTTTATCCAGCTCCATAAAACAGGTGTACCTTTCTGAGAAAATATTGGTTTGCTGTTCTCTCTCTCTTTGGGATATCCCAAAATTAACCCTGGAAGAGCTGATCTTATAAATTGTCCTTGGCACAAATATGTTCAAATATTTAGTACCATAGTATGCTGCTATGAAATGATTTTTAAAAAATCAGATGTCATTGTGAAAGAAGGAGCTTTAATCCAGGAAAGCTTTTATCCTCACTCCCTGGAGAATATTCTACACTCATCAAGAAATAACCTTTTAACAAGGATGTGAGGATTGCAGCTCGTGTGTTGTAACACAGCACTGGGGAATACTGTAGGGTAGCGTTTCCCAAGTCATGGGACCATGGTAGGAATCCCCATATTTTTAACTATGGATGAGTAAAGGACATGACTTTAAAGAAAGGTCAATCACAAATGTAAAAACGTCCCCTTTATTTCATTTGTACTTCATCAGATGCAGAATCTACATTTGCTGCTCATGTGGAAGGCTTTGCTAAGACTTGTTTATCAACTTTTTTAACACAGGAAGATCAAGACTTAGGTGCACAAGAATATCCAGCTTGTTTTAAAGGAACCTTATTTTTGTTGCAGTTTAAAAGACTTAAAAAATTTTATACAATATACATAAGATTTACCACTTTAACCATTTTTTTTAAAGTGCAGTTCATTGACATTAAATACATTTACACTGCTGAGCAAACATCACCACCATCCATCTGCAAAACTGTTTTTGTGATGCAGAACAGGAACTCTGTACCTGTTACACACTCACTCCCCGTTTCTTACCCCCACCCCCAGCCCCTGTGAACCACCATTCTACTTCCTTTTCTATGAACTTGACCACTTTAGGGACCTCAGATATGTGGAGTCATGCAGTATTTTATTTGTCCTTTGGTGACTGGCTTATTTTGCTTAGCATAATATGTCATCGTTCATCCATGTTGTAGCATGTGTCAGAATTTCTTTCATTTTTAAGGCTGAATAATATTCCATTTTACATATATACCATGTTTTGTTTTTTATCTCTTCATCTGTTGATGGATCCTTGAGGTGCTTCCATCTTTTGGCTGTTGTGAATAATGCTGTTGTGAACATGGGTGTACACATTCAAGCCCCTGCTTTCGGTTCTTTTGAGTATATACCAGAAGTGGAATTGCTAGATCATATGGTCATTCTATTTTTACTTTCTTGAAGAGCCCCCATGTGTTTTCCATAGTGGCTGGACCATTTTACATTCCCATTAGAAGTGCATGAGGGTTTCATTTTCTCCACATCTTCACCAACACTTGTTATTTCTGTTTTATTTGATGATAGCTGTCCTCATGGATGTGGAGTGATATCTCCTAGTTAGGATAATTATAGCTTTCCATTTATAAGTGCTATAAAGTTTTCTTTTAAAATAATTCTAAATCAATTAAGTATTGTTATTGTCAGGAGTTAGCCAATTTTTTTTTTGTAAAGGCCAGATAATAAATATTTTAGACTGTGTGGTCTCTGTCACAACTACTTAACTCTTCCATTGTAGAACAAAAGCTACCAGAAATGATATGTAAGTCAAAGTGCTTGAGTGTATTTCAGCAGGACTTTATTTGTGGCTACTGAAATTTGAATTTCATACAATTTCCATGGGTTACAAAATATTATTCTGTTTTTTATTTTTTCAACCACATAAGAATGTAAAAATCCTCCTTAACTCATGGACAATCCCAAAACAGACAGTGGGCCAGATCTGGCCTGTGGGCCATAGTTTACAGACCCCTTATGTAGGAGGTGGTCAGGTATGACCACAGCTTTTAAGGTAATCTGAGGTTAACTGAATTTTGGAAAATGGAGTCTTAAGGAATTTGAGAGAATATAGTACATTGAGGCCAGTTTTCTTGCAAGAATAGGAGATGCTATGCAATAACTTTTTCAGTCAAGGGTTGGCCAGGTGAGAGCAGGAAAGAAGTGGACAACAGTGAAACAGAAATTGTAGCAAAGTTTCTTGACTCACGGGTGATTTTTCCCCCCTATATTTCCTTCATACATTCAGGTATTTTCCAAAACTTATGCAAAGACTCCAGTGTGTGCACATTAAAATAGTCTATTAGGAGCACAATATTTACAAGGGGTCAGATTTTTACCTTTTCTACACGTACGAAAGCATGAAGTGATCTGATTGGATCCCTGATTCACAGAGTTTAGTAGCCAGCCAGTGAAAAGACACAAGTATCCTTCTTGAAACTCAGCCTATTACTTCAGAATTACAGGGGGAAGAACCTTACCTCAACTGGTTTTTCAGAGTATTTGCTCAAATCTATCCTGAAACTAGCCACATTCAGCCTGAACTGGGCTGCTGTACCTGTTGGGAGGATATGTGTATGTGTGCATGTATTTTCCCGAAGGTTCTTCAGAAAGAGCCCTGATAGGTGTGGCCATCCCTTCCCTGCTCTCCACATAGAAATGGGAGGCAAGGGGATAGAAAGTAGTTTCCCTTTCTGGAGTAGGTGCTTTTGTGTTCTTCAGCCCTATGCCCTACCATATGGATGTTCCCACATTTTCCAGTCAGGGGAAAGCAAGAAACATTGCGTCAGAAGAGCAGCATATATGTGACGATTTGTTCTCTCAATATTTCATGGGTCAACACTCTCCTTACCTAATAACATTTATCAGGCATAACAGAACATACAGTACAGGCAAACTCTGCTTGTAGTTACACGGGACTAACAGGCTCCATTCACCAGCAAATATGAGGGTACAAGGTATGATAATTACTGCCTATCAGCCCTTGAAGTGGTGTAAGGAAGGCGCTCAGTGGTCTTATAGACAGTGTTAGAGTGAGTGCAGAGAGAAAAGAAACTGATGTAACAATTTTCAGTTTGTGAATCCAGAAAAGTCCTGGAAATATGTTTGCTAAAGTGAGGATTATAAAAACAATGAAGCTGCTTAGCTGTTTTCCCAGAACTGTAGAAGGCATTCTTTAGAAGGTACTCTCTGATCTCCATCAGCAGTGTTTGTTGAGTGACTGCTGTGTGCGCCACATCTTCCAAGGGCCTGGGAGTACATCAGTGAGCACCCGAGGTGACGCCCGGGCTTCCTAGAGCTCAGATTCTGGCAGGGAAAACAAGAAACAAGCAGGTGAAATGCTAAACGCCCAACACAAATGTCGGTAGTGAGACGTTCTGGAAGAATAAAGCAGCATAAGGGGGGTCAGTCTGGGTCAGGACAAGGAGTTCTCTGCTGTTTGTTGTACCAAGGATCTTGGAGAAGGTGTATTTGAACACAGACCTGAGCCTGCACTTTCAGGTATACAGGAGAAGTGTTCCTAGACAGAGGGAAAAGCAAATTCAAAGGACCTGGGGTGGGAGCAGACCTCATGGAAAAAAGAAGAAGACACATGTAGCTAAAATGAGGAAAGGAGAGAAGGTAGGAGGTGAGTGTACAGGGATGGAGGTGTGAGGCCTTAGTGACCCAGCAAAGAAATTTAGACTTTGAATATTATGGGAAGCCACTGGAGCAATTTGAGCAGTGGAGTGATGTGCTCTGATTGACATTAAAAAAAAAGAAAAGCACTCTAGCTCTTCTGTTAAAACTGGTCTGTAGGAAGGTCAAGAGAGAACATACAAAGGCCAGTAAGGAGGCTATGGCCCTGGAACTGGTGGGTGGTGCTGTAGTAATTGAGGATATGGAAAGTGCTTGGAGTAAGCTTGTGTTGGGAGGTAGACCCAGTGGAAGGAAGTGGGTGCCAATGGCCTGGGTGTGGTGGGGGAGAAAAAAGTCAAAGATCCATAGAAACAACTAGAGGGTTTTGGTGGAGCTCCTGCCTGAATGGCGATGTCATTTCCTGATCTGGGAAAGATTGAGCAAGGGAGTGGGTTGAACTGGGGGTCAGGTGCGCTGAGAGCATGGAATTTCAGGAGATCTGTCTTGGATCTGATAGTTTAACAAGTCCTTTAGACCTCCAGGTGGAAAGATCTCTGAACTCAGCTCTTAGGAGAGAAGTCAGAGATAGATGAATTTGGGAACATGCAGATTGAGTTTCTATATAGGTAATAGTTTAGTCATAGGCCTCAGTGTTGATCACTGGGAAGTTGGTATAGACAGAGAAGAAAAGGAGGTTGAAGCCAGTCCTGAGGAAGCCAAACATTTTGAGGTGGCGAGGGGACAAGCGAGCAGAGAGGTGGGAGAAACTGTCCACAGTGAGAAAGGAGGGAAGCTGGGAGAGGTGGTTCCTGGAAGAGAAAGGAAGAAGGTAGCTCAGTAGTAAAAATTTATACTGTCCTATGTCAGAACAAAAAGGTTTTGTGTCTTTCCTTTTTTTTTTTTTTTTTAAGCATTGTAGGCTGATTTAGCATGCTATCCTTATGTGATATGTTTATATAGAAGTAGCAACCCTAATTCCAGACTGGGCTCATGTCCAAGTGTCTGTACCTATGTGGAGTGGTACAGGAGTCTGTCTAATAAAAACATATACTTGTCATATTACCCAGAGCAAGTAGGTACTCAGTAAATATTTACTGAATAAAAATACCCAAGCTTCTACAGTGTGTGATCAGGGTTCCGTTTCCCAGGCTGGCCAACTTGAAATAGCGTATGCTTTCCCTTTCCGTCCATATTGTGGTAGGCAGTTTAAGAAGCCAGCTTGTATTTCTATCCTTAGTGTATCTTCTTCTCTCTGCTTTTTGCCTTGTCCTACACCAGGTGTAAGCATTTCTTTCCTCTTGGGTGGTCAGCATTCTTTCCATGGTAGAAATGTAGGCCTATTCAATTATCTTTCCAACTCCAGTTGAAATATAAGTTTCCATTTTGGTTATGTTTTGTTACAAAAATAATTTACTTTATAAAATAGCTCTCATCAGAACTCATTGAAAAGAAGTAAAATTACCTCTTTTAATTTTTTTTTTTATGTTATGTTCTACTTGTATACAACGTTGCCAGCTCCTGTTTCTCTTCCTCTGCTGTTGATCTTCAGTGTCAGCATTGCATGTTGTAGATCAAGTCTTATTGTCCATACAAATACTCTGTAGAATAAAAGAGAAAGGGAATCAAGGTTTGTAGGACACCTTTAATGGGCAGCCACTGCGTACTTTGGTCCATACACCATTTTAATTAATCCTCAAATTTCTGAGGGTAGAAACTGTAAACTCTGTTTTGCAGGCAGAGAGGCTGAGACTCAGAAAGATAGTGAGTGTGAGATGTGCTGGGAACAGCAGACTCCTCTGTTCCCTGCAGCATTCTGCCTGACAACAGAGTGGGAAAAAGACTACAAAATTTTGATATGTTGCGGGATTTTTTTTTTAGTATCTGCGGTACAACCAAATACTACAGGAGATGATGGGATACAAAGGCAAACAAACTCTCATCTCTGTCTTGGAAGAACTCATTCTCCCAGGAGAGCTATTAGCATGGTTGTCGAAGTGGATCTCACTCTTTCTGTGCATAGGACCCCTTTAGGTTTTAAAAATTATTGAAGCTCTTTTGTTTAAATGGATTATGGCTGCTGATACCGACCATATTAAAATTAAAATGGAGAATTTAGAAAAATGATTTAATTCATTGAAAATAAAACAGTGTTGCATATTTGCATTCATTTTTTAATGAACAGTAACTATGTTTTCCAAACCAAAGCAAAATTCAGTGAGAAGAGAGGTGTTGTCAGTTTAACCCAGACAAGTTAGAAGAGTTTCCATATGTACTGGGTGAGCCTTTCCAGGAGAAGCGTGAGGCTTGTGTAGCCCTCTTCCAGCTGCCATTTGGAAAACTTTGGGGGAAGCCTTTCCTCTGTGTACCGAGGGAGAGATCCTGAGGGTCCTTTTTCCTATTTGTATCTTAAAGGCTAGCCTGTGTCTAAGGAAAGAACACATCCGGGAAAGTGACTTTTATTTACAGTCTTACACCTGATAAGATTTAAAGAAAATGCCTCACATTCTAATTACATTAGATGAGTGCTACGCTTTGCAGTGTGTCCTTTCAGCAGTTCAGATCTGCAGATCCTGGCTGTTGTTTCTGTGGAATTACACGCTGCCGAGGGTCCTCTGGCGGGGTTTTGTTTTCATCCACATTCCTGTCCACCCCCATCTTCCTCACTCTTCTCACGACCTTTATTCCCTTTCCTTTATCCTGTATATTCATCTCATTTACTGCCCAACCCCTACTTTAAGGCTGTGATGAGTTGGCAGTGCTGTGTGGAACTCAGCTCGGGCCAGGCGAAGAGGCAGAAAGGTGTGGTTCTTCGGGAGGTGGACTTGTACACAGAATCCTGCCTTGGAGCAAAGCCTGATGCAGACAAAGAGTTTTAAGGCTACTGGCACAGTGATGCTTTAAGATGATGATATCTTTTGTTTCAAAGTATGCTTTGGTTTTTCTACTGTGAGCAGAATAGAAGCTCCAGCATGCGTTCTGGCTGGTGGTCCTCACCCAGCGCAGTATTCCTGGTAAGGAACAGCAGCAGAGCAGCTTTTAGGAATCACTACCGAGCTTCCCATGTGTACCGCATTTGCGCTGCACATAAATGTGCTCTGCCCCGCTCACTCCCCTGTAGATGCCTTATGTTCTAGTTTTTGGAAACAGGTCATGGACTGCAAGCATCTTCTTTATCTGTGAGGACAGAGCATTGCTGTTCACTAGGGTGGTTGGGTTGAGAGGCAAGTCTTTACTATCACCATTTTCTCTTGGAGAAGACAGGATGCTTGGACTGTTGTTGGTGTGGTGTGCAGGAATACTCAGTTTGCAAGGAATCTGAAAAGTGATTTTTGAGGTGACTTCTTATAATTGCTGGCTGCTGAGTTACTGAAGGGGGTGCTGGTGGTGGGGTTCAGAGGGGAGCTGTCCATGGGCAGCTCTGATGGCTGGCTCCCTCTGGGCCGACTGGGCCTAAATCCTGGTGTCCCTAGTCCCAGGTGTACCGGGGTGAAGGCGTGTGAGTTGCATGTGTTTGTCATCAGTGCTTCAACATTTTGGACTGTGGGTTAATTTTACCTGAAAGAACTTAGCATCTTGACACAGTAAGGTTTTTCCCTTCTTTCCTTTCATTAACCCACAAGCTCTCTTTGCACATTAGTTATTTCTCTTGGCATGGTGTAGCTGAATTGATGATATTTTCCCCCATTTTTCATGCTGCTTTTGCCCTTTCCTATTTACTCCCCTTTTGGGGGCTTCCTTTTCTCCTCTGAGTTTTCCTTCTTCTCTTTATTGCCATATGCTCTTTATCTTCCCATATCACATTTCCTCTTCCTCTCTCTGCTGCCTAGAGTCGGCCTTCTTTCTCCTACATTTCTCCATATTTTAATCACTTCCTACCTATGAAAGTAGATGTCAGGGTTAATAGAATTGAAACAGAGAAATATTCTGACTTTATGAGCATGAGCCAACCAATCCTGGTGATTCTGATTTTTAAAAAGAAAAAAAAACCCTTTTATCAGATGCTTGCTTAACAATGTGATTTACATCGATTGTGTAGACTTTCTTAATTAAATGCATGATGTGAAATGTAACTTGTATTCTAAGGTAAGAGCTACTGGTTGCATCTCCATGCTACAATATTGTACTTGGAGATATATGTATATATAATGAGTTTATTGCTGTGTTTGTGTTCAGCTGTCTGTGAAAATGGATGTCAGAATGGTGGACGTTGTATTGGACCCAACCGCTGTGCCTGTGTTTATGGATTCACTGGTCCACAGTGTGAAAGAGGTAAGAAGAGAAATGAGAACCTCCTACTGGAGAAGTATATTTTATTGTAAAAATGTGTAATTATTTTTGTTATCATTAAAAAGTCTTCTAATGAAGTAACATTTTTATTCTTCCTTGATTATGTCTCTAAGTTGAACAGTAACATTTTGAGACACAACTAATAGTAGAAGTATCTCTGTTTTTTCCACTAGAGGTACCTCAGTTCAGGAGGCCAACTCTGGGGCTATGGCTCTAGGGTAATTCTGAGTGAGTAACTAATGGCAGATTCTAAAATGTGCTTAATTAGTTGGGAGTCATTGCTTCGAGTGTTGCCTCTGTTAGAAAAAAAAATGTGATGTCAAGATGTCCTTGGCTGCAAAACCAACAAAAATAAGGCATGAATTGCCCTAACTAATAAGGAAATATATGACAGCATATAACAAAAAATCCAGAGCAGATGGGCCTCAGGTAGGGTGTGATCAAGGATTTCACTTTGCTACTCTTGGCCTTGCCCACATTTGTGTGTTGGTTCTGCCCCACCCTGGAGTTCCTTGTGGGTATAAGATGACTGCCTGCAGTAACTCAGGCAACATGCTTTCTCATATGCATCTAAGGAAAGAAAACCTCTCCTCTAATCAGGAGCCAATAATAATCTTCAGAAGATATTCCATTTCTGGTTAGCTAGCTTGAGTTTATGAACCAGTCCATGACAAGGGGGATGGTATTAATATGTCTGATGTAGACTTACCAAGACTTGTCCTTTTGAGCAGAGGATGATGTAAGCTTCCCCAGCATCACATGGGAAGGAGGAGTTTGGTGTCCGAACCCAGTAAAAGCTCTATTGGACAAGAGAAAAGGGAGAGGGGAATGGATGCTGAGTAGGCCTCTAGTATTGTCCAGTTTATCCATGTAAATGGTCAGACAAGCCAATATGAAACCAGTTTACCATACTTTGAACAGCTTAACTCATGCCATCTAGACTTAACAGTTAAACTCTGATGTGGTAGCATGCTAAAACTCCCTGGTGCTGGATCGTTCACTAAGTGAATGATTTGAAGATATCAGAGAGTCGAAGCTTATGAGCTGTGATAAATAACTACTTAGGCACTGAACTAGAAGACTAAAAATTGGCTTAAACTAAAAGCAGTATTACATCATCATTCATAATGACATATATCCTCAGTTTGTTTTCCAGGGCTTGTCATAGCATCTAAAGCTGTACAGCATTTTCTCTGTTGCAGAACTTTTGAATACATGAAGCTCCTTCATTGACATACCACAGATAAATAGATGGCATGGTTTGTGTATGTATAGAGGCTTTGAATTGCAAACCTTATATTTGAAAAATTATACTTGTTATCCTGACAAAAATTTCATGTTAGTACTCAGGGTGAATCTTGAGAAGAAAACTGAGAAATTAGAATTATATGGTGAAGTTTGAAAAGTGAGATGTATGCTGCCTTTTAACATACACTTGTACGTATATATATCCATCAAAATATTTATATTATGCCTAAGGTAATTGAGATTTCTTGGGACTGAAGCACATTCCACAAATGATAGAGTTTATAGCTATGCTTAGGATAAATTTAAATGTCATTACCAGATGCTTTTGTGTTGGGAAGAAAAATTAATTATGAGATGTTAGCACAGAAAGATAAGTTACTGAGAATGAAATCAAACACAAATTTCCCAAATGATGTTAAGTTTATTTAAACACCATAGAATGGAAAATAGTTAAATTTCAAATATCAAACATAATCATAATTGGTGGAGATGATGTTCATTTTTCTGGAGGTCACGTAAACTCTGAAGCTCTTTCATCCTGAAGCAGATTTCAAGTTCAATTCCTAATTGGCAAAGGCTTCCAGGCATTACCTCATCATTTTTCAACAGTCATTCATTCATTAGATTTGTTAGTCCTTGCTCAGTTTATGGGAATCCAATAAAGAATCACATATATTTTACATGTACAGTAGCATGTTTTCAGAATAAATTGCAAATTTAATTATTTAACAAATTAGCCTGAAGAATGTTTCTTAAGACATGGGTTTGTTTCTTAAAAATGTTTTCAATCACTAACCCTCAGATAGAAGTTCTAAAACTTCATTTCTTCCAGAGAAAGAGTTAGTTTCTACTTTTAGATTATACACATGAGCTTTAACACCTGTAAAAAATATTTTCAAAGGAAGTTGTTTTAATGTATATTAGGTAATTCCACAAAAAGAGAGTTCATAATTTTTCTTAAGAAACATGTTCTACCTATATACAAAAGGAATAATTTATGTTGAGATTAGTGAGTAGGCTCAGGTGCCCTGGTGACATTTACAATTTGTGTTGTCCTTTTCAGTAACTGAATTTCAAAATACATCTTCTTTGTTCTCTTAAAAAAATTTTTTGTAAAATTAGGTATTTTTTTCCACCTTAATGTAGAATGCATATAATTGTCCTTTAAATTGGCCTCTGGGGATCAGCTGTGTGATAAAGCATGGCTGCTTTTCCAGCTATCTGGGTTTCTGGCAGACTGGTTTCCGGACAGGAGACAGAGACAGAGTAGTAACTAATGGCTGGCATGATTATGGTATTTAACTTGAGTCTTGGTGCTGGGTAAGCTGAACCTCTTCGGAGTTCTCATTCTTGCAGATATGTACAATGATCTTTTATACTTAACAATAAAAAAAAAGAATTCTTGTGGCCACAGACTGGTTGTAAAATACAGAAAACTCGGCTGTATCCAAGGTGCACAGAGGTACTCAATTCTTTTTGCTTCTCTTTCTAAACAGATGGCATTTGAAAGAAAGATAAATATTGTTTTTATTATATATATCTGAGAATACATAGAAATGGAATCAGCATTCCCTATTAAGACTTGGTGTATTTTTTTGTTTTCCCTAACCCTTCAAATGTACCTTATTGTTTAATCAATAGAAACTTGGAGGAGGTGAGTAGGTGAGAAATGGATTTTCCTAAAGGATTTCTGGACAAAATACAATGACTATTTGACCACAAATGTGGCCTTTGCATAGTCCCTATTTCAACTCCTTTGAGTTTTGAAATCTTATTTCATAGTTGAACTTTCCTTGATGTTTATAGAAGGAACATCTATTAGAAATATATCTTAGACCCATTTAAATTATGCGCAAATTACTATACATTATTTTTATCAGGTAAGCATGACTTCTTTTTAAAAGTGTAAATTTGGCAAAATTTCAAATGACGCTTGCATAGTGACATTTCCTTTAAAATGCATATCTTTCAGTGAACGGTGCCTTACAAAGGATGATTTTTATTTATTGACATTTTTAAGAATAATTCCTTGTGTTAATCAGAATCTACCTTTAAAAAATGTGAGGTCAGTTTGCAAATGTTCAAATTTATAAAATCTCAACTCTCAGCTTTTTTGTAAAATGAAGAATGGATAGATTTTACTTGAGGGTGACTTTCCTAAAATCATCCAATTGTAGGACCTCATGCCCGAGCTTAATGTGTAGAAGCATTGCCTCTGAGGAGTCACTCAGCCTCTGCTGGAACACCTCCAGTCCTGGGCTCTTACTTCCTCATCCCCTCATGAGACAGTGTTGTGTTGTCAGAGTCCTGGTGTTTCAAACTCTGTGTTGTTATACTTCTACCTCTGTGGGGCATTTAAGAGAGGTACAGCCCATCCTTTCTTGTCCCAGTGGGAACATGATGCCAACTTCTCTAAAAGGAGCCAACCACAGCTACCACTCAGGTTTGTATGACCGTGACTTAAAGTCCAATTATAAACTCTTGAATTATTCTATAAATTTTGGTTCATTCTACACACATTTCAGGAGTTCAAGTAACTGTGACAACTGTTATGCTTACTCAGATCTTATCTAGATTCTCCAAGAACAAGAGTGCAGACAGGCAAATTAAGGCTTTCCTGAATTCTGAGAATTAGGTAGACCAGAAACAAGTTTGTCTTGAAATAATTGATCCACTTATTCATCAGTGTTAATTCCATGGTCTTGGAATTTATTACAAAGTGTGCAGGGTAGGTTGTTCAGCTATGAACATTCAAGTAACATAGCAAGTTAATAGGGTGACCAGAACTTCAGGGGAGCATGGTGAGAGAAACAGCTGGTATTACTATAAAGAATTCTATACACAGTGGACTTTTGTTACTTCCAAGAAATAGATAAGCAGTACTTTTTTAGAAAAAAAATTATTCCTTTACAATGTTATCTAAAAGAAACCCATGTTTTTTATAAAATAATTTAAAAAATAAGATAAAACAAGAAAACAGTTTTTCATAATTTGTCCAGTTAGAAGTTACTACTTTTATTATCTTAGAGGATATACTTTGAGTTCTTTTTTACTACACATCTAGTGCTTATGAAAACTGAGCTCTTTCCATGCTTACCACAATCTACTCTTCTGTAATATGAATTGTACTTATATCATGCTTTTCTGTTTGTGTTACTAAGTACATTATGTTATGGATTCTAGTAGTTGCATATTGTAGGCATATCCACATTATGTTTGTAAAGATATTTTTTCAGTCTCAGAGATGAGGAAACTTTGGGCTAAACTTACGGTTGCATTGAAGGTTTGAGGAGAGGAGATCACATAATCTGATTTAAGACCTCAAACTCAATTACTGTCATGGGGCTGCCTGCCATAATTATATTTCCTATTAGTTGGCATTTAGGGTCATTTCCAAGTTTCCTTTTTGTCCTGTTGGCTGTTTGTCTTTTAGAAATGCTGTGATAAAATCTATGGTACATAAATCTATGTACTTGATTTTATTCTTAGGATATATCCTAGAATTGTAACTGCTGAGTTGTTGACTATGAAAAAATTTAAAGCTTTTCATAGGTTCTGTTCATTTCCCTCTTAAAAGCCTTTCTTATGATTTATTCCTTTGGTACTGGGTTTAGAAAGTCTTTCCCCATTCCCAAATCTTATAAATATCTATAGTTTCTTAGTGATTTGGGGATTTTACTTTGTAACCACAACTTAGAATATGCAGGAGAGTAACTTAAGTAAGTACATTTAAA